GACTGTCAGCTTCTCGGGGTGTGAAAGTGAGCCCACGTGACCCGTCCTCCACTCCAGCGCCTCGTTCCCACGCGATGCACGGGGTTCCACACTCCGTGGGGGCTACGGCCAGCCCTCGCCCACTGAGCGGCGCCTGTCCACAGCACCATCTTGAAGTGGCCGGTGTCGGGCGGCTCTGCCCGGCTGTGGGGTAACACGGGTGTCCTGGGCAGGTTTCAGGTGGGCTGGGCTAAGCGTGGATGCTCATAGATCAGGGCACTAAGCACGCTGACCCCACTGAGAGCCAAGGCCGTGTGGATCGGGCACTGACACCCCCTGCCCGTCCCTGCCGAGGTCCCTGCACTCCCCGGCGGCTCTCACCTACCAGCTGCTCACTGAACTGGGAAAGGCCCTCTGTGTAATGGTGCTTTGGAAAGCGCTGCATTTCCAGTGAGCTGACCTGTCCGTGCTGGACATGGACCCTCAGGGGATAGTTCTTGATGAACATGTGTCCCCGGGCTTGTGTTGGTCCCCAGGATACAGCTCCTAAGAGTATCCAGAGGCCACCGGCCTCCCATCGAGGCTCTGCCTACAGAGGCCGGGGGTGTCTGAAGTTCACTGCGGGCTCTGATGAGCACTGCTCGAGGCTCCCAGGCCCTCAGGCCTCCTCCACTCATGGCCTTTGCAGAGTGAGGCTGCGGCTCTGACTTCAGAGATCAACGTCTGCTGCTGAGCACCCGGGGACGCGCTGGGAGCCGCAGGAGGGAGCCCTCCCTGCCAGGCACGTGTTCTCTGTGCCTCGGACTCTGGCTACGGCCACGGAGGTTGCCGTGTCTCAGTCCTGGAGGCTCCGAAGGAGGCCCACGAGGCTGGCTCCTGTAAGGTAGGGCCCTCGGGTGGTGTCCACGATGCCCGTGGTCACTCCTGTCTCCAGCTGTACTCACCAGCCTCCCAGCGTGTCTTGAGGAGGACACTGGTCACCTCAGGCTGTGGCTCCCTGCTCCGCGCCACCTCACCTCCACGTAGCTGACCACAAGGCCACACTCAGAGGCTCCTTCCTGGGCTTTAGGCTCAGCCTCGCAGAACAAACCTGACCTCGGGAGTTTTCAAAGATGGTGACGTCAGTGCCTGACCCCTGGGTCCCCTGCTGGGAACGTGGACAGCTCTGGTCCCTCTCTCCTGGGTCCCCGCTGGGGCCGGCTCTGGTCCCCTCTCTCTATCCTTCTCTTCTTTCTCCTCCACGTGATGAGACGTCTCCTGGTGGTCAAGTCGTCTTCAAGAACCTCCTTTCTGACCTTCTCCCCCTGGTGTGGTGCTGGGGACAGAGGCCAGGGCACTGGGCTGCTGGGCAGGCGCTCTCCCATCCAGCCACAGCGGCCCCAGCAGGCTCCTAGGTGGACACTTCCCTGTACAACAGGGGCCTGCCCCTGGGGGCCTTCCTGGCCACTGAGCAGGGCCTCTCTTCCTGGCCTCTGAGCAGGGCCTCTCTTCCTGGCCTCTGAGCAGGGCCTCTCTTCCTGGCCCCTGAGCAGGGCCTCTCTTCCTGGCCCCTGAGCAGGGCCTCTCTTCCTGGCCCCTGAGCAGGGCCTCTCTTCCTGGTCACCAAGCAGGGCCTCTCTTGCCAGCTCCCCCTGGACACCTGGACAAGGACATGTCCCTTCTTCCCTCTGTCCCCTCGTTGCCATGTCCTCTGTCCCCCTCCAGCATCCTCCCGGAAGACACGGGGCTGGCTTCCAGAAGCCCGGCTCTGAGCCCTCTTGGCTGAGCACCTCCGTTGGAGTCCCCTCCACTCCCCTGTGGGGGACGCTGCCGTCCTGACGGGCAGGAGCCACGGCTCATTGCCCTGGGTCCTGGCCCCACCGCCCAGGGGCCACCGTGCAGCCAGGCTCCAGGGAGTGGCACAGGGAGCAGAGTGCCTTGGTGAGGCCTGGGGAGCTCTCAGGGACGCCCGGGCCGTCCAGGGTGCTGCGCACAGCAGGGCCCTCCCTGGGGCCGCCGTCTCCCTGTCTGCGCACAGGCTGTGGGCTCCGCGGGGGCCGTGGCAGATGGGGCTGGGGGCGTTGGTTTGACCCAACAAGCTGCAGACATTGCCCTGAAACACGGTCTTTT